AAAATCGGCCAGGTTATCTTGGTAATTTTCAGGCTTAACTTTAAAATCGGCCAGGTTATCTTGGTAATTTTCAGGCTTAACTTTAAAATCGGCCAAATTATCTTGGTAATTTTCAGGCTTAACTTTAAAATCCGACAAGTTATCACGGGAATCTTCAGGCTTAACTTTAAAGTCAGCTAAGTTATCACGGGAATCTTCAGGCTTAACTTTAAAATCAGCCAAGTTATCCTGGTAATTTTCAGGCTTAACTTTAAAATCAGCCAAGTTATCCTGGTAATTTTCAGGCTTAACTTTAACACTGGAGAAATAGTCGAGGTAGTCCTGATCTTGATCTAGGGGTTGAACTGTTGCCTTGTCAGGTGGTAGTGTTTCAGCTACTCTCTCCATAGGGGATTCTGGAGCATGAATTGGAGCCTTTTGCTTGACTGGAGGTGTGGCTTCTTCAGGATACTTTTCAGGAAGAGCGTCATTTTCCAAGTGGCTTCCAGGGTGTTCTACCTTTTGAGAAGACTCAGATTGTTGAACTGAATGCTCTTGCTCACCGAGAGAAGTTTCAGTTGCTGAAGCCTGAGGTGGGACCACCACCTGGACTATGGAAGGTTGAAACTCCTCAGAAACCTTTGAAGGGCGAGTGGAGGATTCCAGATTGCTTCCAGAAGTTTCAGCCTCCCCAGGAGATTCAGAAGGCTGAGCTGGCTGCTCCTTCTTTCTGGGAGGGTATTCTTCCTCCATAGGAAGACCATCTGGCTTAATGGAGGAATCATGTTCTACTACAGAAGTTTCCATCTCCTTGGTAGTCTCTGAAGGAATAGCAACTTCCTTATCTTCAGGCTTAACTTTAATACCAGCCAGGTTGTCATGGAGAGCTGGATATTTTGTCACCTCTACTGGAGTTTTTACTATATTCATATGGAACTCTGGAGCATGACTTGGAGCCTCAGGCTCAGCTGGATGTGTAAATTCCTCCAGAGACTTCTCAGCCTCAGCATGGTCTTCCAGGTGGCTTCCAAAAGATTCTACTTCTTCAGGAGATTCAGAATAGTGAGTTACCTGCTCTTGCTCACTGGGATGAGGTTTATTCAGCAAAATAGGGCCAGAAGTCTGATATGGGCCATCCTGAAGATCCTCATTGAACTCTGGAGGCTGAATTGAGGACACCAGATAGCTTCCAGAAGTTTCACCCTCCCTAGGAGACTGAGATGGCTGAGCCGTTTGCTCCTCGAGGTGGGAAGGGGTTTCAGCCACTACAGGAAGTCCTAGAGGTTGACTTGGGACCTCATGCTGGTCTGGGTTATATTCAGCCTTCTTGGTAGGCTCTGAATTTATGCTAACTTCCATATCAAGTTGCTTAACTGTAACATTGGGGAAGTAGTCATGGTAATCTTGATCAGGACCTAGAGGTTGAGCTGTCACCTCATGATAGGGTAAAGTTTCAACTATTTTCTCCCTAAGGGACTCTGGAACTTGAACTGGAACCTCTTGCTGAACTGAGGGTATGACTTCCTCAGAAGTCTTTTCAGGATAAGCTGGGACTTCCATCTGGTTTTCATCATTTTCTCTGCCCTCATGGAGCTCTGAAGGCTGAGCTGGCTCCTGTTTTTGGGTAGATGTGTGTTTTTCCTCCTCAGCGCTCTCTGGAGCCTGCGTATAGGTCTGCTGTTTTTTGGGAGTAGTATCCTCTATATCCAGAGGATTAATCAAGGAATTTTCCAAGGTTGAATATTGAGCTTCTTTTGTATTTGGAAATGAAAACTTGACCCCAGGATGTATGGATGGCACAACCCTCTCAAGCTGAGATTGAGCTGGAGTATCTCTCTTGGGTGTAGAGAATGGAGCCTTCTCAGGAGTCTCCAGAGTTTGGGTCTCCAGCTGGAGGAGCTCTATAGGTACCCTTGGATTCTCTTGGGATTTATGGGGTAGGTTGTCAGCATAAACCATATCTGTACTTAGATTTGAATAATCATTCTGCAAAGGTTGTTTCTGAGGATGAGGTTCTGCAAATTGTTTTTCAGTTCCAACAATAAATGTAGCAAGTCGAGAATGCTGAGCAATATCATTCTCCAGGTTCCCTGGTGAAACCATTAACGGTGTTGTTCTTGAACTCTGATTATGTTCAGCAGCAAGAAGTATTTCAAATGATTGGTGATCTGAAGCCTGAGTTAGATCAATGGTCTGAAACTTACTTTTGAGTGGATGAGGGTGAGTCTCAGCCTCATTGTAATTTCCACCTCCAACTGGCACCGCCTCTGGGAGCCTCTCCTGTACAATTAACTTGTCTGGTAGATCTTGTTGAGGATCTAGAACCTGTTTTGATTTTGGAGAGGGCTGTCCAGAATCTTTGTCTAGGAATGGAAGCAAACTATCGGTCAGCTCCTGAGATGGTGCAGATATCTTAGAAGGGACAGAAGACCCAAGGTTATAGGGGTCTCTGGAGTCGGCTGGGGGTGTCAGGATGTTGGGAGATTCAGTTGGGAGGTAAGAAGGGTGAGAGTCAGAGGTCAGCTGGACTGAATTCCTAGCCCAATGAGCAATTGGAGCCGGCTGGACCAAAAGCCACAACTGTAGCGACAGGAGAAGGAGCCTTAGGGCCCAAAGACAGACCGGGGACATTATAGGCAACAAAAACATGACAGGCGCATTCACTGCCAATCGCGAGCCAACGCCAGTCACAGGAGCCAAAGCATTTTGCCAGGGTCTTGACCCCGTGACCCCCCGGTGACCTGCCTTGCCCCGCCCCTTGTTTATGACGTTTGTTTATGAAACAGAGACCTTTAGAAGGCAAGGCTCAGTTGTGTTCCACAGGTACAGGAAGTCTTTTCTGACTATGCTGGGGCTGGAGCCCTCTGCCCTTACAGGAGAGTCCCTCCGAGTCCCGCAGAGTCCCTCCCCACTAGGCCTCTCCCCCACAGCGAGGCAGGATTTGGGTGGCAGACCTGGGGGTCGTTGCCCCCCTCCCCCCAAATCAGCAGCCCATTGGGTGGGGCACAGCAGAACTTCCCAAGGAAGTCACAGGGCGGGGCCTCTGGAGATATTCAGAAGTGCTAGTCCAGTCCTGGAAGCCTCAAGTCTTCCTCTTCCAAAGTGAAATCTGAGAGATTTTCTTCCTCCCCTTGGCAGTCTGGCTTCTGGGGAAAAACAACTGACCTGCCAAATGAAAGCCAGTGAGGGTGTCAGTTAGGCAGAAGAATACACGTTGCAATTATGTATCCCACAATGTTCTCAGTCCCTCTAAAGTTTCAACACGGGGTCCCCTGGCTGATGATCCACCACTGGGTTAGCTGGGGCTAGCAGGGAGTCAGTGATGACACTAACATTTCTGTAGGAGGGGTTTTGAGGTGAACAATGCAGTCAGAGAGGGTTTGATTCTGAGACAGCTCTTGACATTGACTTGGGGAAAACATCCTCACCCCTTATTGTCTCAACACACCATTTTCAGAGGGTCTACTGTTAAAGAAAACTCAATCTACCTTGGTTCTTAGGTCTGCCATAAGAAGAACTCTGGCAAGATGGGAACATAGCAAAAGTGATAGGAAAGTGTATTAGGCCACAAATATGGAAGAAAAAGATTATGTAGTATAGATATACCACAGGAAGACAGCATTTCAGCCCATCTTCAGCCATCCTTCTCCATCTTGAGAGGTATATTGACCTTGGTTAAATAGGGAGAATTAGAGGCAGGATGTGAGAAGGTATGCATGGTAAACAGTCTAAATCGCAAGCTGTTCTGAGGTAGTGCCCCATAATCCTGATAGTTTATTGTCTCAGGATTGGTCAGTTTGGGCCTTACAAATAGAGTCTTTACAGCCTGGCTGGTGGTCTGTGGCCAACCCATTCAAGATTTCACAAGGCTGTAAAGTGAATTCTATTAAGTCCTTTTCCAGAAACAGCCTTGGAGTAGTTCTTTGTCTTAAGGGTTGGTGAGGTTTACTGAATTAACAGTTGACCTCTATCTAGACTTGTGGTTTTACTGACCTGGGTAGTAAATATCTTCTGCTTTTAAACTATTAGTTAAGTGGAATAGTCTATCATCAATTTTTTTGCTTCGAGTACTAAAACAAACAAAATCTTAAGACATTTTGTGACCATAGGGTTATATTTTATTCCTATCTTACTACCTCATGAGCACATATAGATTTTTTTCCCCTTCAGAGAACTTCTAATAATTTAACTCTGGTATAAGTTTATTGTCTGCTACATCCCTAACCTGAAAAGTCTAAGAAGAGGCTTCATCTTATTCTCTTTGCTGTGCATATGGCTGGGGACATGGTAATGATTTGAAAATGGAACTGATTCCCAAAGTCACCACTGTTAGGCTTAATCCTTTATAATCAGATTTCTGAAATCAATGCTGACTTCCTTTCTCATTTCACAGGCAGCTGGATTTGTTAAAGTCTGACATTTCCTTGACTGGTTTTATTTATTCATATTCATAATAATAATAATAATTTCTTCGTTGTGGGGCTTGAGCTCAAGGTCTAGGCACTATCCCTGAGCTCTTTTGCTCCAAGCTAGTGCTCTAACACTTTGAGCAACAGCACCACTTCTAGCTTTTTGGTGGTTAATTGGAGATAAGAGTTTCATGGACTTTCCTGCCCAGGCTAGATTTGAACCATGGTTCTCAGATTTCAGCCTCCTGAGTAGCTAGGATTATAAGCATGAGCCTCCAGTGTCCATTGACTGGTTTTATTTAAACTGAACAAAAATAATTATTTTCCATGGGAAAAACATTTAATGCTTTTTCGGAAGGCAACCACTTCCTCTACCTTTTTGTTATAATAGGTGTCACGATGTGGGCTAAGTTAAATAATGAAAAATCCTCAAGTTCCCAGTGGCAGGAAACACATTTTACCTCTCTCCTTTTTAAAACATTCTATAGATAGTAAATAATGACTACTTTCTCCTAGAAATGATGTTTGGCAACTTAATCCCGGGTTAAGGCCTTTCAAATAATTAATGAATACAGAGGTTCTTTGGTAGTCTATTTAAGTCTTGGGAGGTGCTGAGGTTTACATAATAGACTATATGCATAAAGCATTGAAACAGCTGGGCACTGGTGGCTCAGGCCTGTAATCCTAGCTACTCAGGAGGCTGATATCTGAGGATCACAGTTCAAAGCCAGCCAGGGCAGGAAAGTCTATGAAACTCTTATCTCCAATAAACCACCAGAAAACCGGAAGTGGCACTGTAGCTCAAGTGGTAGAGTGCTAACCTTGAGCTGAAGAGCTGAGGGACTGTACTCAGGTCCAGAGTTCAAGCCCCATGACTGACCAAAAAAAAAAAACAAACAAACAAACATTGAAGTAGAAGCTCAAATCCCTGTGATCCTACTTGAGCCCTGCAGTATCCTAGTTTCCTTAACTCCTATAGAGATTACAGAACACCTCTCTTAGGTCCATAATGTTGTACTCTGAGGGTCTCTTCAGTGAAGTACCCTATTTTTGGATGCCCCCTCACAGACCACCAGAGACCACGATCAATGCAAACAACAAAGATTCGTTTATTGTAAGCTCAAGCTTGGTCCTCCGCACACTGGGTAACCAGTGACGCTAAGAGGCCCCGAGCATGGAATCAGCACAGTTTTAATAGTATTGAACAAACAACTTTAAGGAACTTTTACATAAGAAATTACATGATTGGTTCACATTTAAAGCAAGCTAAGCTAGGCAAATATGATTGGTTGACCTTTACAGAAAAATATCCTTGCTCCATAGCTTGACCACAAATGGTTATGAGTCACACATGGACCAACAGTATGCATGGCATGTTTCACCCTGAGCTCTGAAGAACTTGGTTGGGACATTATATGGTTTTAACTGAAACTCTTAGCCCTTAGTCACTCAGGGGTAAACACCTGCCTTAAGCAAACGCCATCGATGGCTCCAAGAATTGTTTGTGCATGGCTTTCTGTCATAAATTCCTGGCATTGGGGCTAAAGTGGGTCACGAGTTAAGTCGTAGAACTGAGATGGAGTGTTAAATAAAAATGGAGTTGCTTAGGTTTCTCATTCTGTCCCCTTCTAGAGCATCAGGGGCCAGTCATGGTCTCTTAATTGGCACAGTCTTTTATATTTACAGTTTGGTATTGGGATCTCAGAACTAATAGATGGACTGCACTGATCTCTTTTTACAAGGTCCGATTGTGAGTAACAAAATTAACAGTACCAAAGGCCCTTACTTTTTTTTCCCCCAATTCCTTTCCCAAGGCTTTCTCCTCTTCTTAACAATTCCTTGAGCTTCTTTGTGGCTAGAGTTTAAAACTGCCCATTTTTTTCCTGTGGCTTGTGGAACCAAATTATCTCAGAACAGCCTCAAGGCACCACTGGGTTGCAGAAGCTTGCTAGATTTTAAGGCTAAGAGCAAGGCTGGGTCTCATTCCTTTCACTACCTGTATTGATAACACACGCAGCAGGTTATTACCATACCGGAGCCAAACTAGGCTGTGACTATAAGAGTGGATTTCCAGTCACTATGCACTGAAGTGCCTAAGGCAAGCAGGCCAGTGATATCCTTGTCCTCAATATCCACTGTGGGAATAGAGAGGATTTCTGGATATCACCCAAAAGAATGTCACACAGGATCTTAGTTTTAGAAACCTTCAACCGGGAAGCGGTCTTAGATGATGGAATGAGGCAGGAGTTCAGTCTATTTTTACCATGATGGAGGTGGTCTGTGTGACGTTGTAGATTTCGTCCAGGTGACTGTCAGGCTGTCATCGAACTTTACCCATTAAGGTGTGCAGCAGCAGCAGGGTCTCTCAGGGGCTCCAAGGGACTGTCACACCTAGTGCTGGGCTGCAAATTTCTACAAAGATTGGTTAAGGATACATTACATAGGCTTGGCAGGCTGTGGCCCCATTGATTTTTAAGACTGTTTAAACAATAGGCCTGGACAATTTACCAAAAGGATAATTTTTTACTAACCAGATATTTTTGTAAATAGACACAGAAGGCCTAGTCTTGTAACCATCTCTGACAGATGCAGTCTCCACACTTGCACACCTGTTAACACTATTCTTTATGCCTTTTTTAAAAAAATTATTTTATCTATTTTGCCTCATTTTTTTAAAACTGACTCTGGACCCTTGATCTTAAAAGGGAGTTGATGGGCAAAGGTCCATCTTCTGTAACTTCTTCAAGTTGATTTTAGGGGCACTGATGCTACCTAGCCAGGAACCTATAACCTTAGCCTATTTTACAAAGAGGCTATCAAGGTTAGATGTCATTAAGAACAATATTTTAACCTTTGACAACTGCACAGACCTTTTCTCCAGCCACAGCAGTGTAGCTTGTTTAGCACTCTGGTTTGCAAGAGCATCTTTCTGGATGGCTTAGGCATGTGATCTCTAGTGACTCTAACAATGCCTAAATTACCTGTGCAGGCCTTCAGACAGATGTCAATAGAAACACACTTTCAGGTTTACAAACTTTTTCTGAGTAGATGAATTTCACGTAACTGGTATCAGCTCAAAAGTTACTGCCAATTAGAGCTTTTGGCACATACAGGGGTTGGGATTTAAATTATCCCCCATATTTTACAGCCTTAGCTTTTTAGTACTATCACAGATGACTGACAAGTTCCTGTCCCTTACAAGGTAGTCATGAACATTAGGCA